ACAATTACAGATGCGAACAAAGAACTCAATATCACATTTCAGGATTCCAACCCTATCCCTTCACACAATATTATATTTAGTACCATTTAGTACTTTCGTACCAATAAAGTAAGCATTTCCCAACCCAAAATAGCTAAATTTCAAATTATAGTATATAATTGGAAAGCCACTTCCATATTTCAATTCTGGAAACCAACAGAATTTAACTAATACCCAATATAGTACTATTTTATACTTTTCATACAATTTTGGTGCACATTTACAAAACCACTTGTATATCTCAATTTCAGATACCAACAGAGACTTGAATATCAAGTTGAGGATTCCAATCCTATCCCTTCATTCAGCATTAAATCTAGTACCTTTTAGTAGTAGTAGTAGAGTAGTAGTAGTAGAGTATTTTTTATTTAAACATTTCAAATTCGTTACAGTGTATGTAATATTAAATTAAACTTTTATGTAATATTAAATAAAAAATTAGATATATAATATCGATAAGACAATAGCCTATGGCTGTCTGTCTGTAGCTTATGTTGTAATTTTTTTTTTTTTTTTTTTATTTTATTATTATTATTATTTTTTAAGACATTGTTTGAAAATACAAATTGGGATTTAAAAGTTAAATTCAGATAATAGCTGATTTCTATATTGTGTACAAATTTTTATAAAACTTGCGACATATTTCCAATTTACAATATATCCATTTAAAATATTTATAAGGTCATCTTCCTTAAGCAGTGTCTTTTTGAAGAACATTATTCTAAATTCTTTAAATATGGGGCAGTTACAAAGAAAATGTTGAAGATTTTCAGCTTCCATCAAGTTGCATAAGGAGCAGAGTGGGTTCCTATTTGCATCTATATTATTGAGATTAAGTTTGATAATATCGCTTCTGGCTTTGAATATCCACATTTTCTCCTCTGACGTTAACAGCGAGTTGATGTAAGTTTGACCTACTGATGGGTCTAGCTTCGAGTAAATTCGGGTCGTTTGATTGGCTCTATTTATGGCATCGCACCAATATTTGTAATCTAATGTCTTTAGGAGGTGATCTTTTTTTTCCACAACTTCGCTTTTGGTACTATTTAAATTAAATGGTTCGATATTGTTTTGCATTAAGAGTGCACGAATATGCTTTGCCCAGTAAATGTCTTTTTGCAGAACTATTTTCGCCAGTTTGTGAGGTAATCGGTCGCTATTGTAATCAAATATGGCTCGAATGATATAATCCAAATGGGTTTTCAAGGAGAGGATATGGCTATGTTCCATGTCGGTTTCTAATCTTAATATGTATGTTGGTGTGAAATTTGGGAGTTTTAATATTTTCTTCCAGAAGTAAATTTCTAATTTGTCTACGTCCTCAAAATTTGTATATCCCCATATTTGCGCGCCATATTGTTGGATTGATCTGCATACTGCTGAGAACAGTTTCCATTTTGACGTAATTGATACATCGGGCTTATTCAAAAAGGATTTCCATGTAGAGTTTATACAGTTTTTGGATGAGTTATTTCTTGCCAAAATGTGGTTTTTGAAAGAGAGCTTTGGTGTTAGTAACATCCCAAGATAGGTAAATTCCGAAGTAATTGTAATTGGTTCATTTTTGTAGAGCCATTTTTCATTTTGCGAGATTTTTCCACCTTTTCTGAATACCATTATTTTTGACTTTTCCAAGTTGACAGTAACATTCCATATACTACAATACTCTTCTAATTTATCTATCATTTTTTGTAGTACCTTCACGTCATTTGCCAGGATTACTATATCATCTGCATAAAGCAAAATTCTTATATTTAGGTCATCAATCTCGATACCGCCGCCGATGAACTCATGTAAATCGTCTAGGTATAGGGCAAATAGCAATGGGGACAGTAAACATCCTTGTTTTACTCCTGCTGACGTCGAAAATTTATCGGAGAGATCATGTCCTGTCCATACCATAAAGTTTGTATCATTATATACATTTTCTATAAATCTTATTACCTTTGTTGACACACCAAGGATATTTAATTTATATAGCATAGATTTTCTGCAAACATTGTCGAATGCCGCTTTAAAATCTACGAAGAACGCATATGTTTTCTTATCTTCATGCCAGTTGATATGGACCATCGAAGTGAGACTGAATATATTATCATTCGTCGAGTAGTATTTTCTAAAACCGGACTGATATTCATTGATCTTTTTGTGTTTTTCCGCCCAATTGTACAACCTTTCCGTAATAATTCCCATCATAATTTTTGGCGAGCAGTTCATAAAAGAGATCCCTCGATAGTTCTGAGCTTGTGTAGTGTCTCCCTTTTTAAATATATGGTAGATTATGCTGGTAGAAAATGTCGAGTCAACGTTTCCAGAGTTGAAAACTTTGTTGCATGAATTTACGATTTCCTGTAGCAATTGTTCTGGAGCATTTTTGTAGAACTCGTATGGAATACGATCTTCTCCTGGAGCTTTATTTACTTTACATTTTCTTAAGACGTTCTTTAGCTCTGTCATTGAAATAGGCTTGTCCAAATCATCATCTATGAAAAAGTTTGGAGCGTACTGGATATCTGGTGATGTTTGCGGTGGGTTGAGCAATTTTTCAAAATGCCGTTTGAAGTCGTTTGGTTCGACGAATATTCCTCTTTGATTATTTGTATCATTTCGGATTTCCTTAGCTATTTTCCACCAATCTTTGCTATCTTTGACATTATCAAGTTTTCTTTCTAAACTGCTGAAATATTGCAGTTTAGCCAATCGGCATGCATCTTTATATATACGATTACTTTCTAGGTATTTGCGTTTGTTCTCTATTGTAGAGTCTTTCCGGAATCTGTTAAGTTTCTTCATGGAAGTTTTTCTAGCATTGTAGCATCTTGTATTGAACCATTTTTCATTTTTCGCAAAATTAGGTGTTTTTTTGAAGAAGATTTTTGATGCATCTTTAATAAGATTCGTTACATCTGAAAAGGTAAAAGTACCTTGATTACCACTTATTTCGATGAGTTCCAATACTTTATTCTGATAATCTGATGCTTTATTTGCATTCCACTTTAGCTTTGGCAGAAGTGTATTTAAGGTTTCTTTTTCGTTTTGTAGTTTGATATTTAATGATAATATTATTGGCATATGGTCAGACCAGGTTTTATTTTCGATTCGAAATTCATCAACGTTTGAAAGAAGATTATGGGAGACTGCGCATATGTCATTCACTGACGCTCCAACTGTGCTCACAAATGTAAATTCTCCACATTCATCCCCTTTAGTCATGCCATTTGTTATCAGCAAACCATGATCATAGCAAAAGTCGATGAAATTCTTTCCTCTGGTATTTATTTCGACATCCTTGGATTTTCTTTCCTCCAAACCCGCATAAAAAGTTGATTTCTGGTCTTCCTCAATTTCGATCTGCATATTGCCAATTCTTATATTTAAGTCACCAATTACTATTGGATTTTCTATATAATTCTCCTTCAGGAATAAGTCCAATTTTTGAAAATCTTCATTCCAAGTTGCTGACCTCATATATAGTGGTATTAGATGAAAACTATTTTGGTTGATTTTGAATTTGACGTAATTTATGCCAAATCTGCATTCAAAGCTGTATTTTAAACCAATATTTTTTAAAGTTTTTTTTACCCCAACAACACTACCTCCTATTCCTCTTCCAAATCTGCTATTTCTTGTTGCCGGATACCAAGTCGTACAAAAGTCACCAAAGTACTTTTTAAAAAAAACTATTTTATCTTGACAGATATGTGTCTCACAAAGGGCAATAATATCAAAATCGGCTAGATATTTGAAAAAATCTGGATATAATGTTTTATTTTCAAGTCCATGAATGTTGTACGAAATTATTTTTAGATTATGTTCTTCTGTGATGGGTTTGATTTTACATATATTTCGTTCAATTAGTTTTTTTGGATGACATTTTTTAGTAAATGCATATAATCTATATTTAAATCCGCTAGTTTATTACCATAGAGTTCTTTGAGTACCGTTTCGGCTTTATTACTTCCCGACATCAGTTCGCGGTTTTTTGAAAAATGTAGCCATTTATTTCCAATTTTGAGGGAATCATTTCTAACAAATATTTTATGCGTTTTATCAGTCTGAAGTATGGCTGATTTTATTTGCAAGAGAACTTTGCGATCTTGTTGTCTTTCTTCGCTCAAATCTCTCTCTATTATTATGGTAGACCCTGTTAAATTTTTGGTATTTTTAAATATTTTATGTACCATTTCCTCCGTCTGCATTTCAGCTACAACTCCAATTTTTCCATTGTTTGAATATAAAGTTCTTGCCATTTTAATTTTCAAATCATTAAGTTTCAAAACGTTTATACAGACATTTTCAACAGAATTTTTCGGTGAGCCTTGTTTCTTAATGCCTTTGAATATAACATTTTTGCGTTTACTCTGGTCAACTAGACGTCTTAAATTTTCATTGTCTCTTTCGCGTTCTGCTTTTAGCTTGTTGATTTCAGATCGTAATATTTCATTTTCATTTTTCAGATCTTCACATTTCTTATCGATTTCTGCGACGTTAGTTTTAATATCCTCAAAATCGCTCTTTGTAGCTAGATTTTTGAGTTTTTCATCCATAATACCTTCCATTGACTTTTGCATCATATTCATTAAATCTGAAACCTGTATATTTCCCACCAGTTTTTTCGACGAGCCTGGCATTTCATCGGGAGAAGTTTCAGTCAAGGTTCTCTTTGCAGATTGAAATGCAAGAGTTTGTTTCGATGATATTGGTGTTTGTGACATCGTGAACAGACCTTATACAAAAAAATGTTTATATTGGCAATGTTTTTTAAATACTGGTGTATATGGTGGTTGGCAACGCCGTATAATATGATTTGTCAGCTGTCAATTCTAGTTGAAATTATAAACAACTGTGGCATCCAACCAGTATTTGGATAGAAAGAGATCAGCTGGCGTTGTTAGTGTTCAAACAAATTGAGTGTTTTGTATTTCCAATGGATTTTATAAAAAGTGTGAAAATAAATTATTTAAAAAGTGAATACGTCACCAACATTTGACTACACTTCAAATTTAATCGATTGCCGCTTTCTCCGTCTCTTTGTTGTCCAAAATTTTCTGCTTATCGAAGCTTTGTAAGTGTGTTTTTTATTTGTTTATTACGGATCGTTTACAAGCGCGTGTATCTTCTTCACGTTTTTCCAATAGTCCTTTAGTACTTGTGTACAAATATTAGAGGCATTTTCAAACCCACCTCCAAATCTCGGACTCAGATACCATCAGGAATTTAAATATCTAATTTCAAACATTTTATTTCGGCAATTATTGTACACCTTCCCGAAACAACCTCCATATGTCCAGGCTAGACCTGAACAGCGACCCTAATACCAAACTTTAGATTTGTACCAAATATAGTACAATTTAGTACTTTTCGTGCACTTGTAGTACAAATTTCCAAAACCACTCATTTATCACAAACAAAGAACAGGGACAGCTTCAACCGTTTATCCATTCATCTTAAAACAAACTTTCCAAAGTTAGTACCATTTAGTACAGTTCGCACACTTAGTACACATTTCCGAAACTACTTTCATATATCAAACTACTACTTTCATATATCACATATCAATTTAGAACTTTTCCAAACTTTAAAACTCGAATTTCCTAAAACTCTTTTATATATCTATCCTGTAGTCCATCAGTGACTCTGATTCCAAATTTCAGGATTCTAGCTCATGCCGTTTGTCCAATATAAAGTATTTAGTTTTTCTTATACCCTACACCACTAGGTGGTCAGGGTATTATGTCTTTGTGCATTTGTTTGTAACAGGCAAAAGGAAACGAGGTAGACCCATAGTTCCTTTTGATGATCTGCATAGAATCACATTCTGAGTCGATTTATGCATGTCCGTCCGTCCGTCTGTCCATGCATTTTTGTAAACAAAGTACAGTTCGCATTTATTGCCCTATCCCTATTTTGAACAAATCATTTGTTTGGCCCAAGGACGAACCCTATTGAAATTGGAGATAATCGGTCAAAATTTAGATATAGCTCCCGTATATATCTTCGTCCGATTTGTCTTTTATTGTAAAGCAAACGTGTAATATCAGTCCGAATAGTATGGAATTTTGCACGTACGATCAGATTGGACCTGAAAATAAGTATGCCAAATTTGATCGAAATCGGTTAAGATGTAGTTATAGCTCCCATATATATTGTTCATCCGATTTGTTATTTTTGTCCTCCGCAGCCGTAATAATAATACAATATTTGGGGAAATATATCAAATACAGCTCAGAAATACATTTGCAAAATTTTATCGAGATCGGTTCAGATTTGGATATAGCTCCCATATATAACTTCGTCCGATTTACCTTTGATTGTGCACCAAACGTGTAATATTTGCCCAAATTGGATGGCACTTACGACCGAATTGAGTCTAGAAGCTAGTATGTCAAATTTTGTGAAGATCGGTTCAGATATAGTTATAGCTCCCATATATACTGTTCATCCGATTTGTTATTTTTGTCCTCCGCAGCCGTAATATACACTCCGTAATAGCTCAGAAATACATTTGCTAAATTTTATCGAGATCGGTTCCGATTTGGATATAGCTCCCATATATAGTTGTATCCGATTTCAAATTAATTGTGCACCAATTGGGCAATAAAATTCCGAATTTAAAATATACAAAAGCTTCGGCATATTTAGTCCTTTGAACTTTAAATTATAATCATAGCGTGTATGATTGAATTCTGCCATAGAAACTTTTAATTGTTATGCGCAGCTCTACTAAACTAGTAAAGTGGTGTAGGGTATCATAAAGTCGGCCCCCACGACTTTAAGACCTTCCAGTAACCAGTAGTTTTTTTTATATAAAAAATTTTTTGTACATTTCGTACTATTTCAGTACGAATTTTCAAAAGCCAAGACTGGCCTTCGTGCAAAATTTGAAGATTCTAACTTCAGCCGTTTCGTCTGGGCGTTGATTCTCAGTCAGTTATTTTACTGCTGTTGATATATGCATATATAATGGTGTTCTACTTAAGTAAACCTTCAAGGTTTTTCCACTAAAACAAACAAACATCGTCCCTAGGTGTCAGTTCTCAGAAGAAATTCCCTTTTCTTACACAAAATGTCAGTTTTCATATTTGGCAAATTGAAAAAATTATATTTACTTATGTCGACAGAACAAAAGCTTTCAACAAGAAAATGACATTAAAGGTCTATGTTGCAACCATAACCTTTAACCTTTTAACAAAACGAATATAATACTATCACAACACATCAAATAAGAATTCACATACATATCTATATATGTGTGCATCAACCAATGCTCAAACTGCACAACACGTTGGTCTCGTTGTTGTTGCTGCTCCTGCCTTTTCAAGAGCCAATTGTAAAGTTGTTTTGTGCGCCTGTAATTTACAGTATTTTCCCCACCGGTCATGCCCTCTGCATAGGTTTTAAATATTTTATGAAGAACTTCATTCAAAGTCAATGTTAGTTCGCTCAACCCTCCGGAGATTCGAAATGAAAATGTTACGTCTCTGAATGGGCAATGGGGCAACAAGGCCGCCATGCATTCATTCAATTGAAAGTTTTTCAAACTAAAGTGGTAGGTTTGTTGTGATTTTTTTGTTTGTTATTTAAACGCGGATCCATAAAACATTTTTGAACTTGACAATGAGCTCGTTTGATGTGAGTTGCAGAACAAAAAGCTTTGAAAGAGTTGTTGTTGTTGCAGCTCGTACTGCTGTGTTCTTTCTGATACCTTTTCTAATATGGCTTTGCTTCTAACTGCAAGCTCAAAAAGGGAAGCGACCTATATACCATACTACTGAACCTGGATCTGATATTTTGCAACCCAAATAGATCTTTTTATACCCTCCACCAGAGTACGGAGGGTATATTAAGTATGTCAATCCGTTTGTAACACCTCCAAATATACATTTTAGATCCCACAAAGTATGTATATTCTAGATCAGCATAAAATTCTATGTCGATTTAGTGATGTCCGTCCGTCTGTGGAAATCGCCCTTTCTTCCGAACGAAATGAGTAAATTTAAGTAAATTGATAAAATTCTACTCAAATGTATGTTATATGTGTGTTATATTTTTGGTATTGAAATAGGGCCATGTAGTTCCACGTTTTGGTATAGCCCCCATATAACGGTACCTCCCGATTTTCGGTATTTTGATGATTTTAGCGACATTATTCTCCGGAATTGTTTCAAATTTGGTATTTGAAGTTCGAAATAGATACTACAGCTTAAGACAGAAAATTGTCTGTTCAGGTCCACGTCTTCGTATAGCCCCCATATAACGGTACCTCCCGATTTTCGGTATTTTGATGATTTTAGCGACATTATTCTCCGGAATTATTTCAAATTTGGTATTTGAAGTTCGAAATAGATACTACAGCTTAAGACAGAAAATTGTCTATTCAGGTCCACGTCTTCGTATAGGCCCCATATAACGGTACCTCCCGATATTCGGTTTTTTTATGATTTTAGCGACATTATTCTCCGAAATTGTTTCAAATTTGGTATTTGATGTTCGTAATAGATACTATAGCCTAAGATAGAAAATTGTCTGTGCAGGTCCACGTCTTCGTATAGCCCCCATATAACGGTACCTCCTGATATTCGGTATTTTGATGATTTTAGCGACATTATTCTCCGGAATTGTTTTAAATTTGGTATTTGATGTTCGTAATAGATACAGCCTATGACAAGAGATAGTCTGCGCAGGCCTACGTCTTCGTATAGCCCCCATACAACGGTACCTCCCGATATTCGGTATTTTAATGATTTTAGCTTCGTTATTCACCGATTTTTTTAAATTTCGCATTTGAATATTGTAATCGCTTATGAAAAAAATTACCTATGCAGGTCCATGTCGTTGTATTGACCCTAATATAACAGCCACATTCGGTATTTTTTTAAGATTTTTTACAGAATTTTTAACGGATTGTATTGTTTTTGAGAATTGCCAAATTCGTTCCAAGTGGTGGAGGGTTTTTTAAGTTCGACCCGGCCGAACGTACAGCTCTTTTATTTGTTTTTATTAGGGTCTATACTTTTATAAAATGCTCCCTAGAAGTTTATGCACGTGATTGCCTTATAAATGTTGCACAGTGTATATTCACAAAAATATACCGTAGTTACTGCATCAGGAAGCCCCTTGTTAATTACTATAATCCATAAAAATCCATTGAACAATTTTGAAAGCTCTGAAAAAAATTGAAAAAGATTCAAAAAACGAAAATAATTGAGTTATTAAAATTTTGTAGTGCCACTACAAGACCTTGAGGCAAAAACGCGTCAAAACACACAAAGCCACGTGTTCGTTCAGCAACAGCAGAACGGAAATCTTTGGCATTGCTTCATAGACCCAAGAGACATGTGAATTAACGGAAACGGAAGTGGAAGTCGTGCAAGAGGCGAAGACAACATCAAAGCAGACTGCGACAACGATGTTCGAGACAGCAACGATGATGGTGAAGATGGCGATGATGATGATGACAACGTTGTTCATGCCATAAATTCATTCATCCTAGAATCATAAACAATTTTCGGATTTTCCATTATGTGTTCTATTCAATATTTAATGGCTGATGTCGGCTCTAATTGACTTTGATAATGAATTAAAAGTTTTTTTTCTTCCACCGTAAACACCCATTAAACTTAACAGGCCATAACGTATAAAAGTTTTTTTGCTTTGCTTTGCTTTGTTTTGTTTTAATGAGTATGGATTTTGGTTGTTGGTTGCTCCTGAGAGCTGGGTGAGGACAAGAGGAAAGAAGTATTACCAAAAATTATGTTTTCTGTGTGGGAAACTTTTATTGAACATGGCTGAATAATAAGGCTTATAGTAAAGTTTTCTTCAGCCTAGAGTGGTCAATTAGTCCGGTAGTTTATAATGTAGGGCAAGGGGTGACACAATACACCGAATTTTCGTTTGGAAAATATGGCCAAGACTATTGCTATAAATAAAATCAGGGGATATCTATATAAATGCTATACCTATGCTGATATTTTTATTCCCTCCACCTTGGAAAGGAGGGTATATTAACTTTGTCATTCCGTTTGTAACATCCTTAAATATTCGTCGTAGACCCCATAAAGTATA